AAAAACATCAGGACAATCAAGAAAAGCTTTGATGATGATACTACAGAGCCTTGGAAAAAGAATAGTAAGTACAAGAGGATAAAATAAAGATATGCCACTCACCAGAAGCCCCTGGGAGGGAAAGCTGGCTGTCCAACATTGAGGAAAATGAGTCAGAAGGAATTCATGTGCTTGTTACAATGATACTTGCCCATGTTTGGTCTCCCAATTAGATCCAGATCAAGCCTCAGCTGCAAATATTTTATTAGACATTGCAGGATGCGAGCCCAAGGTCCAACCAAAGAGTGGTGGGAATAGAGAACAAGAGCAAGGGGCATGAGAGAAAGGGAGAAAGGGTCAGGACCACACAGGACCACACAGGGAGATTGTTCCATTAGATATGTGAATGATTAGCCAGTTAGGGCTTATTATTCATGAATTATGTCCAGTAAAACATGGACACTGTGGGGTAACAGTTAACCTTAGACTTCAGAATGCAGGTCTGCTAACCAATTCTGTAGTCTATCTGCAAGTTGGAATCTTGCTAGGGTCATACATAAAATTGCTTTTCAATTAAAGTATTTTTACACATCCACATGAGCATGACTTGTTCTATATGTTTATTTTTTCTTGAACTTTTATCTTTCCAAACATACTATTACTTTTTGCTCTCTTGCTTGAATGGGTCTGGTGGGGAGACCTGAAGCTGTGAAGAAGGCTGCTTTGAGTTGTAGATGACCATGTAGTGGTGCTCCAAAACAGACCATAAAACATAGCCTCTTCATGGCCACTGTAATTTCAGAAGCCTTCCCATAGCTTAGTAAGATCCAGATAGGCTGGCTGTCAAGATAATGCATTGTGAGGGTTGATCCATCGATGAGGTCTTTCTGGGGTATTGGGTGCTGTGGGTATATCTAGCAATAACCGGATGAGTGTTTGAAAGGATGAACAAGATTTTGTTGGGAAAGTACCAGTTTTTGGCTGTGCAGCGAGTGCAAGCAAGCCTGAGTTTCCTTGCACTAGCTGATGGTGTGTGGTATACCATGTTCACAGTATGGTGTGGAAACTAATCTCAACATCATGTTTCCAGATCATTTGACATTTCTTTTGGTGCAAGCAGCGAAGGCCTGTGGACCAATGGTGTAGCAGGAGATGTCAGCAGGATGAAAACACCTTCTTAAATAATGGACCTTTTCTCCAAGCTTTTTTGCAAGATAGAGTAAGTGGTAGCCAGATTTGTTTAGACATAAGGGAAAAGAGATACTGATGAGGCAGTGTTCTACCATAAGCCCTTAAATAACAATCTCAAAATCTTTAGGGCTTAAGCCCATTTAAGGCCTTAATTTAAGGCCTTAATTAAGCCTTAGGTTGATGAATTGATTTTTTTCTATTTTTAAACTGACCATGTCAGGGCCAGTGCCACAGGAAAGTAATGAAATTTTGTGTTATACAAAATACTTCTACATTATAATTTATAATTTATTCTTCATTATTGCCAATCTTGTTAGCACCTTCAACAGCCCAGTGCAACACCAGTGTCTCCATAAACTCTGTGATTCATCAACTAAGTATCCTTCTGGATTATTGATTGATTATGGAAATATCAAGTAAAAGGTAGAAAAATGAGACTTTATTGAATATTCCTACATATTTCCCTTTTGGCTTGGGACACAGCCACTTAAGCCTTTGTTAAGGCCTTAAGGGATCCAAGGAAAATCCTGAAGCCTTAACTTAAGGCCTATGTACTTAAGGCTTAGGCCTTTGGTAGAACACTGTGATGAGGTACTTATATGGCCCAAGCTTGTGACTCAAGTCAATTGAGTCATTCAATGATTCAATTGACGAGCTTCATCCTCATCATAAAAAATTGAATCACCCCCTGGAGTAAAGCCAGCAAACTCGTAATTTTAAGGATTAAATACAAGACTTAAAGGCCGCAATCATCTAACATCTCTTGTGCCAGCCTCAGACGTTTCCCCACCATATCATTTGTAAACCTTAGTTGATTTGATAAACAGCCCTCCCCCTGAACCTCCCGGAATGCTAGGACATGCTGTAAGTGCCAGAGTGTATGAACTCCACAGTCAAAGTGATTAGGTTGAAAGGGTACCTGCAGCAGAGTATTCAGCTATTTGTGGAGTAGAACAGCTCCAGAGATGCACCTTAGTGTGAGGATTGCAGACCCACTGCATCAAGTGAGCATTTTTCAGCTGCACCTCCTCACCTCTCTCATGAACCAGTAGTTCCGCAAGCCACATTAAGACCTGCTCACATCAAAGTGTATCAGATGTGCCCAACAAGTCCTACTTAGTAGCCAAGAAAACTTACAAGCATGAGGCCTGTATTTTTCCATAATAGAACAGGCTTTTGTTGGTTAAGAAGACAGGTTTCTGACCAGCTGTCATAAATGTGGATGTGTTTATGGCGAAAATCAATGTAAGCAGAATACCAGTGTGAATGGTTTTCATTGATTGGGATAAACACCAAGTCTCACCCCATATTGAGACCCAAACTCCTCTTTTGTAATATGAGTGAGCTATTTCAAGAATAGAAGGAAAGCAACTTACATTAGCCCTGCAACACGACCTAAGCGCTCTCTTTTCATCATCCAAAGTCAAAACCCCACGTTTTGCATGAATACATGAATTATCTTCATCATCAAAAAGGATTTTACAAGTGAAGAATGTGCTAAGCCCCAAAGTAGATGACCTTGAGCACCATTTCTTGACAAAGTAGTTTATAACCTTGTCTTTAAGCCATTCTTGAGCACCCAATGTTTTGAAGTTCAAGAAAGAGATGTTGGGTAGTTTCCCTTCTAAGAGTTTTTGATTACAGCCTATCTGTGAAGTGTAAGAAATGTCAATTGTCTTGCCATTCTCAAAGCAATTGTACTCACCTTCCTTACCATGGACCTCAACTTCACCTCCATCCAAAGAGGATATCTGTCTAAAACTTCATAGAACATTGTTTCTGTGAAGTTTCTCAGGTGGATAACCTCTTCCCTCAAGTGACACAGGTTATGGAAGGTGGCAAGGACTACCCTGTCCAAATGTACAGTATTGTGGCTTTCGAGGCAAATAGCAACTGTGCTCTGTAGAGCAGGAAGAGCCGCAAGCTCATTTCCAAGCGCCAGTAGTAGCTTAATCCGCAAAAGGTGGTTCACATAGAACTGCACCATTTTCCATATCACCCATGGTTCCAAATGGAGAGCAGCATGGCGAGATCCAAAATGGATTATTTCTGACAACCTCAGGCAGATGTAGACATTGGAGAACACAGAAAGCAAGTTGATATGAAGGTAGTAAACGAACTTGTTGCTGCATGCCTAATGTTTCTAAGCATGTCATGATCCATGTGCTTAATGTCCATGCAATCACGTGTTGATTACTTCAAGTGTGTGTGAGAAGTTGAATAGCTTATTGTTCTACTTATCCAATGACCAAACGCGCCTGAGAATTACAAAACCAGCCAATGATTGGGGAAGAGTCTGAGGAATGGCCCCCCAAAAGGAAACATATCAGTGATGTTGAAGAAGAAGTCAAGGCAGAAGTGAGTAGGACAACAAAACAAAGTGAGGTTGGACTTTTGGTCAGATTGGCAAAGGATATTCCTTTGGATGTTGTTTTTGAGGTAAGCTCTAAAGGTTTGAATTTAGTTTCTTGTCTAATGGCAAGTGTTATGGATTCAATTAGGTCTTCACGCACCTGGATCCCATTGATCTACTATCACTCTCTCGTGTCTCAAAGTTGCTGCAAAATACACTAATGAGCAAAACTTCCTCAAGTATATGGCGCGCGGCCTGCTCAAACATGCCCAGCCTGCCCCCTATTCCAGAGCATTTCAGTGAACCCCAGTATGCCCACTTTATTCTCTCAGAATATTGCGATGTAAGTGTTTTTTATGTGTTTACTTTGGAAAACACTGATCATTTTACTGTAGATCTGTCTTGAGAAAAACCGACCACTGAGGCTAACTACGTGGTGGGAATTCTGTGCACGAGTTTGCTGTGGATGTCTTAATCAGCTCTGCGTCTGTGGCTTCCTTGTCTACTGTCGGAATTAACTTGTTTTATAGAAACTATACATTTTTCATCAGCAAAAACTGTTTTGGGCCCAGGAGGATCCAAGGTCACCTAGTCCTCTTAGGCAACCTGAGGCATCCTAGTTGGCCCAGGAAAAAGGGTAAAACTTTGGACACCTCAGGTATCCTAGTCATCCTAGGTGTCCTGGGAGATCCTGGGATGTCCTGGGGTATCCTGGGGCATCCCGGGGCATCCTGAGGCATCCTAGGATAAAAGTTCCATCCCAGGATGCCTCAGGATGCCCCAGGACATCCCAAGATCTCCCAGGACACCTAGGATGACTAGGATACCTGAGGTGTCCAAAGTTTTACCCTTTTTCCTGGGCCAACTAGGATGCCTCAGGTTGCCTAAGAGGACTAGGTGACCTTAGATCCTCCTGGGCCCAAAACAGTTTTCGCTGATGTTAAAAGTACACTGAATGCTACATCAGATGCAGGATGTGGATTTCCATCTTAGTCATGTCCTTTTGCCAAGCATGTACTTTTATAAAGGTGGTGAGTTTTCATAAATCTTCTTTATAGTTTCACATTTTACCATTGACAATTTCTAGTTTTCCGATTGGACCAGGCTACCTTCCACCCATCCTCACCAGCAATGGATTATATTAACAAATTCAACAGTCTTCCAACAGTTGATGAGCAAGAACAATTGATTACGCATTTGAAGAAGGTACAATGAGAGGTGCTGCAGGTAAGAGCAAAGCTTTTCCTTAAAGATGGTAATGATAACAACTTCATTAAAGCATGGGGAACTTTGCTCAAAATGGCTTAACATGATGCTCAGAGTGGTGTAAAAGAATCAAAATTATGAGCATGTTGTGCTATGTATGCTGGTTGAGTCAGATCGTAAGTGCCACATCTGCTTTTAGCTGAAATATTTTCCTTAATTACTCACAGCTTTCATTTGGCTTGAGTCTTATTACATGTCGCCAGTGAATGTTGGTGTGGTGGGGTAGTGGTTAGCCTGGGGTCCAATAGTGAATGCACAATATTGAGTTGAACCCAGATGCAAGTTCAAATCTTGCCTGCACCCTTTCATTTTTGTACTACTCACAGCTTTCATGTTATGTACCTGGTTCACTTGGATCTCTCAGTGTATGCTGTTGGGGGAGTGTAGTTGTACATGTCACCAGTGAATGTTGGCGTGGTGGGGTAGTGGTTAGCCCTGGGACCCATTGTATTTCTGCAGCACCCGCGCATCTAACTCTGATCCCAGACGCAAGTTCAAATCTTGCCCGCACCCTTTCATTTTTGTATTACTCACAGCTTTCATGTTATGTACCTGTTTCACTTGGGATCTCTCAGTGTATGCTGTCGGGGGAGTGTCGTAGTGGTGAACCGGGGAGAAAACGTTGCAAATTTGAATTTTGCCTGTGCCCTTTTTGTATTAATCACAGCTTTCTTTTTATCTACATGGTTGAATTGCGTCTGTTTTTAGCTAATTGGTTTTTCCCTTAAAGGGAGTTGCTTGGCATATCTGGTGCCTGCCGCAGGGGAAGCACTATTGACAAGCATTATCCTAATGAGTGATGCTCTATTTGTCATCACTTGTATTTAGATCCAATCATGATCCATTGGATGTTCCATGAGAGAGAGATTGAGTGCCAAGACAACTCTTCTCCTTCTCCTCCCATGGCAGACTTTCAGCAATCCTCTGAGCCCCTCACTGACAGTCTCAGGTTGGATATTCTTCTTCTTTCTTCTTACCTTAGCGGCATGCAGAACTCTCCTTCTGAACATCACCCCAAGAACACAAACTTGCAGCTTTTTGTTGACATCTCAATGCTTCTTGCTATTGGCAACAGTGACAATTTTGGAGCAAAGAATGTAAACGCAGTTATAGGGCAAACAACCACATCTTCTGAGGGGCCAGCTTTGGAACTTCTTGTCTGCATTGAAAACGCTAGACAGGATGTTGCTTTGGTACAAGGCCTCAGACCACTTGTTAGAGGAATTGTTTCACAGGCTGGAAAGGGAAAGGGCATGCGAGGCACCACAGAGAGGAAAAACAATGCTGGGCAACCTGGACAGAAGGGTGGAAACAGTGGACGTAAGGGTGGGCCCGCAGAGAGTGTACAGATAGTGGGAGAGGATGAAGAGCTTGGGTCTTTACTTGATATAGAACCAAATATGGAGAATGGGAGGAAGCTACTCAATAACTGGGGGAGGCGGAATTCAATAAACAAGGCAGTTAATGACAGAAAGTAGGCTATACATCCATTTCTTGCATGGCAATTTCTCAACATACATGACCCCCAGTGACTTTACATTTAATGAACACCTCCAAGACTTGTTTGATGTGATTGTCGCCCTAAATATGCAAGCGCCAGAGGACCTTTTGTGTTTCCAAGACTTCATCCATCACCATGCTTATTGAAAACTAGGCTGCCAAGTGCTAGAGTTCTGCACACACTGGGGTGAATTGCCATTCAATATCCTTTCCAAATACCTACACGGATTGGAACTGAAAACCATTTCAATCAAAACCCACAAGCAACTTCATGAATTAATCCAGCAGTCCTGTTTGTTGGATCCAGAGCCAGAAATGCCGTTATAAGACCTCGGTGAGGTCAGAGCTAAGTATCACCCAAATGAACACAACTGGACTGTAATTGTCAAGGTATTCGGTATGGGTAAAGGTTAAGCTAAGGTAAATAAGTGACATAACATGGTTTATATATAAGTGACATAATCGTAACATAATGACGTGTGAGTAAGTAATAGGGGGTGTTACACCCTCCCCGACCAGATTGAGTCCATAGGAGCAATCAATAATTAAACTCGGTGATTGAGTACCTACGATAGCGTGTCGTGAGTCGCCTAATCAGCAAGTTGGGCAGTTGGAATGATGTTCACTAATATTGTGTTGTGAAAGTCAAGGTAACTGGGCTATGATGTCCATGATAGCGTGTCATGAAAGTCAAAGTAGTAGGGGCTATGACAGTAATCTGGTCCAGTTATACTTAAACATCCAAGAACATTCCAGTCTACCAGTAAATACAACAAGTTAGATAGTCCAAAGCGTAACAATCCAGTATCTAATATGATTGAAATCCACAGGAAATCCAGGCTGGATCCAGGCTAGAGTCTGGAATCCATGGAACCAGGACCTCTGGCACCCCTTGGCTATGGATTCCAGGACCATC